GGGGGGGGTCACACAATAACGAATGTCGACAGCACGTGCACAGACAGGAACGGGTCATTGAAAGACGTCACTTTAACACTGGTCTCCTAGGCTGTCATGCCTCATGAGCCGTGGAGCTGTGATAAACACCTACAAAGGTAGGCCTCCTGCGGTATTGATAAAATATGAATACCTGTTTGTCAGGTGATTGAGTTTTCTTTCTAGTCTTCTTCAAATGAACATAACACTAAGTAAAGAGAGGATCCAACTAGGTATGAGAAAGGAACAACAAATTCGGTTTGGGGAGGGAGGGGGGGTTGTTGTTTCGGTAAGAGCTTTACGGCGCAAGCAATTTAACGGTATAAGGCGAGGTCATATAAGCGCGCGTTTAGGCGAAAGGAGAAAAAAAAAAGCTACTATTACTCAGTGTGATTTATGGTGATAATAATATTTCTCCATTTAACCGTGCCAAAAGGGGGGGGTTGTTGAAATTTTGAGTATAGTCGGTCTGTCGGTTTGCTACTCTGTGGTCAGAATTCCCCACTGTGTGTACTGCCTGTCTTTTATTATGCTGGAGCCAAGATGGATGTGTATGCTTTACGCTCATGCTTTAGGCTTTGTCAAACGACTCAAATCAAATGTTTGGAGTGACTTATGATGAGTGTGTTTTTACTTACTGAATAAACGTTGAAGAGTTGAACTTATCCTGCTTTTACGTTGCTGTTTGAGGTACTGAATGAGTTTGTACGGGTGGTTGGCGGATGCTCTGGTGTGGTTTGCTCCTTCTTTCCTATCTAACATCTATCGTCCTTATCTCCCCTCCTTTTTTATGTTTGTTACTCTCCTGTAACACCTCTAATCTTCTGGCGCTCATATGACCTTATGCAGTTGCGAGCGCCCATAACCTCAGCTAAAACAAAAACATCAATCTTCTTTTTCTCTCCTCCATTTTTGTGTTTGTTACTCTCTTGTAACACCTCTAATCTTCGGCACTTATATGACCTTATTGTGTTGCAAGTGCCGTAAAACACTTACTAAAACGGATGAGTTTTTGGAGGAAGCCTGTGGTAGCTCCTACGTTGTCTGTTTCCATCTCTTCATACGTGTCTGTCTTTCCTGCCTTTAATTTTCCTTTGCCCTTAAAAGATTTTGTCCTCTGGATGAAAATACGCCACTGAAGATCTTTTACAAGCCCATCAACCCCATGAACACAATTTTACAAGTAACAGTAACACCATCAACAATCAATACAATGTTGCAACTTACAAGTGATGTGGGTGGTTGGCGGGTGCTCTGGTGTGGTTTGCTCCCTCTTTCCTATCAAACATCTATCGTCCGTATCTCCCCTCCTTGTATTTTGTGTTTGTTACTCTCATGTAACACCTCTAATCTTCGGTACTTATATATGACCTTATTATGTTGCAAGTGCCGTAAAACACTTACTAAAACTAAACTTGCAAGTTACACCTTCAACCCAATTTTTCAAGCCCATCAACTTCCAGCCCAATACATGTACAGAAGACGAGCAGCTTCGACCAAGCCTGTCAGGGCCAACGGAGTATAATAGAGATACACCATCCCAGCAGAAAGACGGAAGAAGATTCTGGATAAAAAGACCTCTCCCCATATGGGAGTCGAACCCAAGTTTGCTGTGTGTAGCAGGAGAGCGTCTAACTAACGCCATACTTGCTTGATTTTTGTCTTGCCATCAAGGCTTCATCGCCCCGTGGGGCGGTGCCACTGACTGAAGTGTCTTTAGGCCATTCCCAAAAAGGGGGGGGGGGGGCATTTCTCGTTCAACACAGTAGAATTGTAAATGGGCTGATGCATCATGTCACGCTCATAACTGTGCCTGATCTGCAACAGGGAACTGCTGCTTTTTCTTTTCTATTCCTTACTATTGTCATTTTCCTCTACTTCTTTTGTATGTTTGTCACTCTTGTGACCCGCTATTTCCGGGGTGCCTTGATAGTCGAAGCAGACTTTGTGCTGTTGAAGCTAGAGAGGTGAGCAGAGTAAGTCTGATTCCCTGTAAAGACTTCTCTGTTGACACCCACCCCTTGGCGCTCATATGACCTTATGCAGTTGCGAGCGCCGTAAAACGCTCTACTAGAAAGAAAAAAAAATTTAAAAAATCAAGGCTTCGAACATCTTCCTCTCACATGAAACATAGAAGGCAAGAGACACCGAGGTAGACAAAGAATAACGTGCTGAGAAAAGTCAACATAACCTGCACTACTAACTATAAAGTACATGTACCAGTTGCTCCATCTGGGAACAAGATCTGAAGTAGATGGGGCACAACTGTTGTCTAGACGTAGAGAAGATCACTCAGAATTACAGGTGAACAGCCCTTCTTGGAGTTATTGCAAATGATAGTATTCATCAAGACGAGCATTACATTTTGATGTATGATATATGTAAATTGGATCATTAGAAGCTGAGTTACAAATGTTTTGGAAGTCGCTAAAATGACGGTCATGCGTCTAGAGATCCTGTGTTAAAAATGGACCATTTTTGCCTGAAAAATGACGATGAATATTGGCATTGGCCATAACTTTTGAACTAATAAAGGTATCTTTAAAAAAAATTTAAAAAGCATAATAATCTGTCAACGTCGTTTTTTTCATCCAAGAAAAATTCTGAAATTATGCAAACTGAGCCCAAAAATGTGAAATTATGCGATTCTGTTAATTTTAACAAAGAAAATAATCAGGAATTATGCAAAAAATTATCAAATTTTGCTACATTATGCTGGGTGCATAAAACCACGGGGACAGAGTAATCAGTGTCCCAGGCTCTATCCATTGATGTGTCTTTTTGTTCAATTTAATCAATTAGTCACACTATTGTGACCCGCCATTCCGGGGAGCCTTATTTACGGTCTCTGGCCTTAATAGATGGGACACAACTGTTGTCTGGACGTAGAGAAGATCACTCAGAATTACAGGTGAACAGCCCTTCTTGGAGTTATTGTAATTGATAGTACTCATCAAGACGAGCATTTTGGTGTAAGCTATATGTAAATTGGATAATTAGAAGCTGAGTTACAAATTATGTTTTGGAGACGCTAAATAATGACGGTCACGCGTTTCCTGTGTTAAAAATGGTCCAATTTTGTCTGAAAATGGAGATGAATATTTTGGCATTGGCTATAACTTTTGAACTAATAAAGCTATCTAAAAAATCAAACAGAGTAATAGTCAATGTCCCAGGCTCTATCCTTTGGTGTGTCTTTTTGTTCAATTTAATCAATTTTTCACACTCTTGTGACCCCCTTTTTCCGGGGTGCCTTGATAGTCGAAGCAGACTTTGTGCTGTTGAAGCTTGAGAGGGGAGCAGAGTAAGTCTGATTACCTGTAAGGACTTCTCTGTTGACATCCACCCCTTGGCGCTCATATGACCTTATGCAGTTCCCAGCGCCGTAAAACCTTACTAAAACAAAACTAACAAAAGTGCCTACACTAAATAGGTTACAGTTGCTCTTCCTGGGAACAATATCTGCAGCAGATGGGGCACGGTTGTTTAAAGGTGGAGAAGATCACTCAGAACAGATGAACAGCCCTTCTTGGAGTTGTTGACGGCCATTATCTACCCAATACCACTACCACAGAGGGAGAGACATCGTTATTGTGTCTATCACAAAGTCGTGTTTCTTTTTATTCAACAAGTTAATTAACAATAAAATCACCCACGACCTGCATGTGTCGAGACTGGACAGAAAACGTGGCTAGGGACAGACAAGTGTGGCGTCGACTGCTCTCCACCTTATGTACCTGACTGTATAGATTAGTAAGTAAGGAAGTAAGTAAGGAAGGAAGGAAGTAAGTAAGTAAGTAAGTAAGTAAGTAAGTAAGTAAGTAAGTAAGTAAGTAAGTAAGTAAGTAAGTAAGTAAGTAAGTAAGTAAGTAAGTACTTACTTACTTGTACTTACTTACTTGTCCACTGTGTTGGGGTCACTGCTGTCGGAACATGTCCATCTCTGCTTCCCCCCCCCCCTCTTCAGGATCCATCTCAGAGTCTGTCTACTTATAGTCTCCATCATGATCTGGTTGGAGATCCGTCTGACTGGTCCGCACAGATGGCTGTGTTTCCCCTCTCTTCTTTGGATCCCCTTCTCCTTCAGTCTCCCTAGAGGGTGGGAACCGCTATCCGCCCTATTCTTCCTCAAATTTTTCCCCTACAGCGGTTAGGACGGTTGGTGGGTCCAGTGTCAAATTCCCTCCCACTTTTGCTTCTCCAGCCAGCTTGTCTGCTCTCTCGTTGCCGGTTACCCCCGCGTGACCCGGGCAGAAGATCTAGGCCACTTTTTCCAGGCTGCAGTTGAAAGCTGAGAAAAAGCTAGCAGATCTCAGATTATATGAGGCAGCAAAAGAAGCCATGGACCTAGCATATGACAACTTCTGCCGGTGCGTGAACAGTGACAGGGCCCTGTATCAGTTCTGGAAATTCTACAGGTGCATGACTAATAGGAAGAGCAAACAAGCTATCCCTGATTTCCAACGAGAGGATGGTTTGTGGATGCGCACTGATGAAGAAAAAGGCCGTGCTCTGTTTAGGACATACCTTACACAAACTGACAGGAAAGACGAGCATAAGAGAAAACAGCTGCTCAACAGAATCCAACAGGACTACAAAGATGAACCCTGCCTGCAATTTGTGACACACGAAATATTACATAAATATATCCAGGAAGCATCCAACACTTCTCCTGGTCCTGACGGAATACGTTATGGCCACATGACGAACATGGAGGA